TTTTTAGTAGAGACGGCATTTCACTATGTTGGCTACACTGGTCTCCAACTTGTGACCTCAGGTGATCCACCCACCTTGGCCTCCCAAATTGCTGGGATTACAGTCATGAGCCACCACGCCCAGCTAATACCAAAGTTTAAATCTGCCCAAATTGAAGATTAACTGCTATGGGAATTGGCTTTCTACCAAAAATAATCAGAATACTGGACCAAACATGTGAAACAACTGTTTCAGATATCGGACAACCGTTTTTAGACACTGGACAACCGTTTTTAGATATGGGACAATCGCTTTCAGATATTAAACAACCGTTTTCAGATATTGGACAACTGCTTTCAGATATTGGACAACCGTTTTTTAGATATTGGACAACCATTTTCAGATGTTAGAATGGTGAAGACGTCAGATGTTAGAATAGCGCCCTGCGGGTATTCAGAGGTTTCTACTTGAGCCTATGGCTGCTCCCTAAGTTGCACACGTGTAGAGTAAAACTCCATGAGGTTGCAGAAGGAACCACCAGAAAGCAGCAGCAGATGAAACAATTTCCAGAGTTTATGAAAAGCTAGGAACATTTCATGTTCTGACCAGACAGGGCAGACAGGGAGGAGAGACCTCATACTATGTAGGCATTGGCAGTGAGGTACTGGGGCAGGTTTGTCCCTGTTTGAGACAGCTGATGGCTATGCTTTCAGGAATTTTGAGAGCTGTTTGATGTCACATTGGTAGATGGAGACTGGCCATGATAGGAAGTCAGCAAATGTTACAAATAGGTTTTTATTTTTTTCCAGAGAACCAGTTGTTAAACATTTACCAGTACACCACTAGGTACTGGGTAGTCTTTAGAAGAATCATGCTTTAGTAGTAAGGATAAATTAATCCTAGAACAAAAGCTACACTGAACCCACATCCTAAAAAAAGCCCAAAAGCAAGCCTCAAAAGGGTCAAACTCGTCTATAAGCAACGTAACTTCAATGAAGGCCCAACACTTTTTTTTTCTTTTTTCTTTTCTTTTTTTTTTTTTTTTTTTAAGACAGAGTCTTGCTCTGTCACTCAGCCCGGAGTTCAGTGTCATGATCTTGGCTCACTGCAATCTCCTCCTCTTGGGTTCAAGCAATTCTCATGTCTGAGCCTCCCAAGTAGCTGAGACCACAGGCATGCACCACCATACCTGGCTAATTTTTGTATTTTTAGTAGAGACAGGGTTTCGCCATGTTGGCCAGACTAGTCTCGAACTCCTGACCTCAAGTGATCCACCCACCTGGGCCTCCCAAAGTGCTGGGATTACAGGCTGAGGCCCAACACTCTTGAAAGCAATACAACAAAATCTAGCTTTTAACACTATAGCATTCATCATAACATGGATAGCCTTACATCTATTAAATAAATGTAATTCATTATCAGAAACCATTCCAAAAAGGAAAAAAAAAAACAGACTCAGGATATTTTAATGAATTCCACAAAAATACTTAAGGAGGAAATAAACCCAAGTCTACATAAAGTCTTCCAGAAAACAGAAGAGGAGGAAATACTTCCTAATTCAAATGCTATGGGGCCAGCATTACCCTGCTATCAAAACCAAAGACACATTACAAGAAAAGGACACTGCAGACCAATATCCTTCCTCAATATAAATAAAAATTATTTTAAAATATTCACAAATCAAATCCATCAGTTTAAGGATAACAATCCATTATGACCAAGTGTGGTTTATCCTAGGAAGGCAATGTTTTTTTGCCTTTGAAAATCAATTTATGTCATTCACCTTATTAACACATTAATAAAAGAAACCATAGATTCCATATTGTATGGTTCCATTTATGTGAAATTCTAGAAAAGGCAACACTTGAGTGGCAAGAAGCAGATCAATGACTGTCTGGGCCTGGGATGGAGGAAGAAGACTGGCTACAAAGGAGGACAAGAAAACCTTGGGGGTTAACGGAAATATTACAATTCTTGAGAGTAAAAGTAGTTTTGTGACATTTGTCAAAATTTATGAAACTGAACGCTTAAAATGGGTGATTTCCATTGGTCGTAAATTATACCTTTAAAGTTGATTTTTTTAAAAATGTTTGGCCCAAATGCCCTCATGGCAAAAGTAGCTTCCACAACCATCTTCGTTCTGTAGATCCCCTTTTCCCTTCCTTTGTTAGCCTGGTGATACCTTAGCACAATATCAGCTCTGGATGGCTGGTCAAACGCTCTAGCCTGCCACTGCCAGAAATGGGAGTTAGTAATTGACTTTCTCAATGGAGAGTCTACAAGAGAAGACCAGAGCATGAGGGCCTTCAGCTTCCTCAGTAGAGAGGGGGAGCGAAGAAGACTTTGGTTGTGATGGTGGCATTTCTCTCCTTCCTTTCCTTCTTTTGTCAGGTAAATAAATGTTTAAATCTGGCTCTCCTGACATACTTTCTTTGGTTCAATTCAGAAACATCTATTCATTTATCAGTGATGATAAATACATCAAGTACAGGACTTAGGAGTCAAAAGACCAGGTCTTTAGAATTGGTTCTGCGTGAGATTGAAGAAGTGAACAACCAGCTTAACCTCTCTTGGCTTCAATGTCATCCTTCATAGATGAAGATCAATAATCTCTAAAGTACTTGCAATAAAATCTGATTCCTTACTTTCCAGAGGAAACACTCTCCACAACTGCTGCCCTTCTGTCATATTGCTGCTCAAAACAGTCTGTCCACTTTTCACACATAACTTCAAAAACTGTGCCTGTAATATTTTAGGGATAAGTGATATTCAGTTTAGTACAACAATACTGCATCCACCTAGCAATCAAGTCTCTTGATTTCTTAATTCTCTAGAGTACAATCTAGGATCCAAAAATAAACTTTAAAACAGGAAGGAAGAAAGGATTCTAAATAGCCTACCTACCAGGGTGAGCATTTGCCTAAAAGGAGAAACCCTTGGACTTACTTAGAGTTAATCTGTTGGGAATTTTATATCCAAACCTACAAGATTAGTTAGTTTGTTCTTAAGCCCATGATAGATAATTATCAGCAAATTAAAAGGTACATTCACAAACCAATTACAAGGGAGGAGATAGAAAATCATAAAATACAGGTACAATAAAATATAAATAATTCTAGTGTAGAAAATAAATTATCTTATGTACACACTTCAATAGGTCCTCAGTGAACTACTGTATTGGAGCTAAGTACAACTGCAAATTTTATTAATGCTACAATCTTATGTTTTAAGAGACAGTCTCTCAGATGTCCAGAAAACTGAACTCTCCAGAATGACTCAATCTTTGACAGTTCTGAAAAACTGATGTTTGCTATAGAATCTTTTACCTAGCAGCTATTTCATATGTGTAAATGTTCTGTTATTGACTATACAGAAGCTCCTTGAGACCAGGTCATGTACTTCTCTATAACTTTCATACAATCATAGTCATCTGTATCATGAGACTAAGACACTACCCTCACATAAACACAGTCTAGGTTAAAGGCCAAAGTGCCTAGGGTCCATGCATAGTGCTCAACTAATGTGCCCCACAGAGCTGATGCTTAACTAGTGTCAGTCAAATGAATGATCTCAAAGCATTGTGCAGCTCAAGGAGGACGTGAATTATTATTGATGTAGGGATCCCTGTGTTTTCTTCAAAGTTGTGTTATATACATGGATGCCATCCTTTTTCTCTGAAAAATTGACTAATCTTCTCTCTACATAATTAAAATAATTTCTAAAACCCCACAAATTCTCAAAGGTGATCCTGATTATCCTGAAAAGATCTGATGGCTTCTCTTTGATCTCATGAAGGGTAGATTGCAAACTCCCACAACCCTCATCCCTATTCTTTTCTCAAAATGCTGTTGCTCCCCTCTCTCAAAATTTTTCTGAATTCTGACTCATATTTGACATCAACAGTTTACAGAATTGGTTTAACATTTACATTTATTTTCTCTTTTCTCCTTCTATGTTCACATCCCCGTGATTGTCTTAGATTACGTATTTTTAGTGTCTTGGTAGAAGGTGTCTTTGCAATTATATTTTGCAGTTTCCCACAGGCAATTAGGTGCTTAAAAATATCTTAAGAAATGTGAATCGGGGATTCAAAGATTCAGACACTTCCAAAAGAATGTTTTCATTGGATGCTTTCCAACAACAAAACATTTTCAAATGGAAAAAAAGAGAGTATTAGTTTGTGATTAACTCTTCCATAAAATTCTGGAAAAGGCCAAGATTGTTGCATACCTCTTATTACAGCTAACATGGGGCTATGTGAGCTGGGAGCAGGGGCAAAATAATAGAATTCAACAGAACAACAAAGGCATTGCATCTACTTAGTTTGTCTTAGTATAAATATAATAATAAAATACATTTTTAATCTTGGAAAATTTTTTAAAAATACGAAAACAGTACTGACATTTCCACCACCGCAATGAGACCATTTGTGTATACTTTAGACGTGTTAATTGGGTACAGTACTTGGGTAGAAAACACAGTTCCTACTCTGGAGGTTTTTTAAATCCTGGTGGGAGTAGAAAAGACCACACGTTTGAAGTTGTTAGGAAGCAAAGTGAGATCACGTGTAATCCAGTGCCAAATGGAGGACTTACAAAGAAGAAAACAGAGCCTGTAGAATGTTCGCCTCCAGGTCCTATATCCAAAGTATGAGACACTGTCCAGAAAACAAAACCCTCTATTCCAGTGACCTGCTGGCTAAATAATAAGCATTCAGGAAATGTTCCTGTTTCTAGTAATACTCACTGACCAGGTGGGAGACAAGGCTTCTCAGGCCATGAACCGTGATGCAACTAAACCCTCAAACCAGCTGGGTTATGGGGAGGTGGGGGCTTTGTGAAGCTTTAATCCTATCACACCCTCGCTTAGTTATGGCCTGACACGAATGCAGAGTCTTGACCAAAACAAACTCGACATTGGCCCTGAAAACTTGAGCAGATACTAAAACACCCTGGCCAATCAAGTCCTCATCGTTCCCCCAGAACAAATGACAGGCTAAGAAAAGCAAGCAGTCATGCATATTTGTGCTGATAAATTGTTAAAATGTGCATTTTATTTGTGCAGAACAAATCCCCACAGTGAATGAAAAGCATTACCACCTATATATTGTGCAGTGTTCTCTTTTGGTGAGATGGTGTGCTTTTTGTTCCAGGCACAAGAATCTATCATCGTCAGGATCGTCCCATTTACACCTGTGGTTTCCAGTTTTGAAAATCAAATTCCATGCAGTTTAAATATATTGTCATCACTCAAACTCAAGGTACAAAAATGAATAAACAAATTAATAAATGTCCACTCTAATGTGGCTGATTCATTGGACTAGGAATAAATCTTATATTCTTTCCAAATCACAACTATTATGACTTACTCTGGAATTCTAGAAAATGTGTTAAAAAGTGGTTCTCTTGAAATACCTAGGATGAAATGGAATCATAGAATGTTAGAGCTGCATGTGAGTCTTGGAGATGAATCAGCCCCATTTCTTCATTGTCCAGTTGAGATTCTGAGAGGTGAACAATTATCAAGGCAACAGAGTTAATTAATGAAAGGATCTCTCTATAGCAAGCTTCCATGTTTGTGAGCAGTCAACTGGCATTTGTTGAGTGTTTCTATATCAGGAACTTCCATGTTCTTGCCTCTGGATTTCCCAAGATGGAAAACCTTCTCAAGGAGTTTATATTCAAGTAGGTGCAGCTTGCTCATAGGTATATCTTTTAAAAATGATAAATAGTTAATATTTAATACTTTTTGGTTAAAAAAAAAAATAGATCTGCTATCCATACCACTCCCACTTTGTGTTAACCAATTCAATTGAAGGAGTATGGCCGTAATGTGCTTCGGATCCTAAAACCTGGAATGAAAGGATTGGAAGACACTGTAGCTGTTATTCAGTCTGCCCACTAAAAAAGATCCTCACCATCCAAGTGCCCAAGCTATGAAGCTAGGTAAGGAAACCAATGCATTTTTAATATGAAAATGTTCACTAAATGAATTTTCACTTTTTAAAACTTGTACCCTCTCAAACATGCCACCTCACTCAGCACTGGTGTTTAGTTTCACCCTTTGAGTCAGCATCTTTGTTGGTCAGTCATTCCCTAATCATAATAAACATCAACACGATATAAATTAGTTTTAAAATAAAATTGAATATCTTATGAAAAGAATCCATAAAGCCAATCACACTGATGTTGAAGCACTGTTCAATCACATGGAAAGCTGTTGATGAATGAAGGACTGCTAGAAATAAAACAGTCAATGGAAGAAGAGAAAATTGCAAGGATGGTGACATAAGTTACTTCAAAGAAGAATGGGCTGATATCCTGGAATTAGGAGAGGCCCTTGGGAAAATTGATGAAGTTCTCAAATATTTTTCAAAAAATGATCATCACTGGAGTATGAAACTCAAACAAGAACTGGAGGCTACTGTATAATGCCAGCATATACTTTTGCCAGAAATATCACACTCCCCAAAAAATAATGAATATAGATGCTATTCTTTGTTCATTCTAAGAAAAAAAACAGTTTTAATTTAAATATATTTTTATATTCAAAATAAGAACTTATTTTACAACTCTTCAAAATACAGTCTCCTTTGCTTTATTACTATTTTTTTTATCTTTTTGTTTTTTATTCTTGTGGATACCTAGTTGGTGTATATATTTACGGCACACATGAGATATTTTGACATACGCATGCAATCAGTAATAATCATGTCATGGAAGATGGGGTATCCATCCCCTCAAGAATTTACACTTTGTGTTACAAACAATCCAATTATGCTTTTAGTTATTATCAAATGTACAATCAAATTATTATTGATTGTATTCACCCTGTTGTGCTATCAAGTACTAGATCTTATTCATTCTCTCTTTTTTTTAGAAACTAACCATCCTTTTTAATCTGGACATGTGTTCTCAATTTTACGTACAATTTGTACCCAATAATGAACATGGCCTGTAACTGCAGAGCTGAGGGACTGAGACCCAGAAAGGACAGCAACTTTTCTAACGTCACACATCTACTAGTGACAAAGCTAAATCACTTAACGCTCCCATCACCCAGAGGTTGTTAATCTCTGTGCAAAGAAGTAAAGAATTTGCCTTGCACTTAATATGGCTTTTCAATCAAGGTAAGAATCTGATGGCAGGAGAAGTAAAAGACACTGAGGAAAGATCTTATGGAAGATTAAATAAAAATTTGTTTTGTCTTCACTTTAGCTAAAGAAATGACATGTCTAAAACTGATCCTAATCCAAAACGTACATTCCAGGGAGAAGACTTGCCCATTTTAAAGTGTGTTCTGGTACAATTAAGAGGTACACTTAAGATGGGGATTAATTTTAATGATTCTGTTTAGGGTTCTTTGTAAAGGAGAGAGTGCATAGAGGAAACCATGACACTCCCCAGAACCATCATCTCTGCTGCCTGGCTCCTCCCAGCAAGTGTTGATATAAGGCAGAAAAGAGCTTTAAGGTATTACGGAAAGAATCTTTGCATCCCCTCAAAATCCATATGTTCAAGCCTTATGCCCCAATGTGATGGTCTTAGGAGGCAGGGCCTTGGGGAGATGATTAGATTTAGGTGAGGTCATGAAGGTGGGGCCCTGTCTTAGTGCACTTATGCTTCTCTGACAAAATACCTGAGACTGTGTTATTTACAAAGAGTAGAAATGTGTTTTCTTACAGTTCTAGAGGCTGGGAAGGCCAAGATTAAGGCATCGGTAGTTTTGTTGTCTGGCAAAGGCTTGGTCTCTGCTCCCAAAATGGCACCTTGAACACTCTATCCTCTAAAGAGGTGGAACACTGTGTCCTCACATGCCCAAAGACAGGAAGGTAAAAGGGGAGAATTCCCCCATCAAGGCTTTTTATAAGGGTACCTAATTCATGAGGGATAAGCTCTCATGGCCTAATCATCTTTCAAAGACCCCACCTCTTAATACTATTACATTGGCTTTGTCTGAATTTTGGAGGGGACACACACAAAATGCAGCAGGCACCTTGAAGGGCTTACTGTTCTAACCTAAGAAGAGGAAGAAGAAACCTAAGTGTTCTAACATAAGAAGAGAAAGACCAGAGCTCGCTCGCTCACTCTCTCCCCTCACTTCTTGGCCATGTGAGAACACAGTGAGAAGCAGCTGTCTACAGACCAGAGAAAGGGAAACTTCATTAGGAACAAAATCTGTCAGCACTTTCATCTTGGACTTCCCAGCCTCCAGAACTGTAAGAAATAAATGTCTGTTGTTTAAGCTACCTGGCCTATGGCATTTTGTTATGGCAGTTTGAACTAAGACAAAAGATATCTGTATTAGTCAGAGTGCTCTAAAGAAACAGAACCAACGGGATATAGAGAGATATGTAGAATAGATTTATTATGAAGGATTGACTTACACAGTTGTGGAGATTGAGAAGTTCCACGATCTGTCATCTGCAAGCTGGGGGCCCAGGAAAGCAGTTGGTGTATTTCCAATTCAAGGACAAATGCCCAAGAACCCAGGGAGCGAATGGTTTAAGCCCAAGTCAAGTCTGAAGGCCTGAGAACTTGGTGGGGGTCTGGGCCTTATAAGTAGTGTAAGTCTTGGTCTGAGTCCAAAGGCCTGGGAATCAGAAGCACTGATATCAGAGAGCAGAAAAGGATGGACGACCCACTTCAATGAGGATGAGCAAATTCAAACTTCCTCCACCTTCTTGTTCTATTCACCCAGTAGTTGCTCAGTGTTATTCGATTAAAGTGCAGTTTAGCTGGACCTTAACAAATGAGTATGGTCTAAGTAGGCAGAGAATAGAGACAATAATGGGGATTATTATAGCAATATTAGGGATAATACTAAGAAATTCCGTTGCAGAAAATATTACATAATTCCAACATCCCAGACTTGACAAGTGGATTTTCTGACCTGCCGTGCACAGAGCATACAGGAGGTTTCCAAATGTGAATTCAGGAATGTGGCTGCAGCTGTTCTCTGGAGCTGAGAGGCCCCAGATAGAAAGCTGAGTGGTGTGCACACAGATTCACCTAAAAGTGCACCTGTTATAGCTGAATAGATTCAGAGTGAATAAGAGGCTAAGAAGCAGCACTTTCAGACCATTCTTACCCCATACTACAGCCATCAAGAAGCGAGCCCCATTGGACTGGATTTCCATTCAGTGTGAATTTTTGAAAAGCTACATATGAAATGGCCCCTGCTAACCCCAACTTAGGATAAACCAGTTATTCCCAACTTAGGATGGCTCTGAAGGGTCATCCTAGTTTCAGGACTCCCCACAGGGTCAGTGATGGCTTCTGTTGGGCCTTCATCACAGTTCAAGTTTTCCCTCACCCAAACGTGGGTCCCCACTTCTTTAAGGGTTGATCCCCAAACCTCCTGCACATGAACCATTGCAGCCTCTGCTTCCAGGGAACCCAGCTTTGCAACACTGCCTGAAGAAACAAAAGGTAAGGTCCATGATTTCAAGCCTAAGTTTAGCTAGAAATATCAAACGCAGCCACAGAAATCATTACAGTATAGCACAGATTATAGACTATAAACCTCTTGAAGGTAGACACACTGCCTCATTGTTTTTAGTATCTTCAGAGCCCAGCAGCAATCCAGGTTGTAGTCACTGTCTGTGGAATGGATGGACAGATGGAAAACAAATGACAGTTAGCACCCATGAGAAGGGCTATCAGAGCTCAGAGCAACACAAAGTCACCATGGAGTTTCGTTCCTGGGAAAGGCATCACTAAGGAAGTAGCAATTTAGTAAGGGTCTTCTACACAGTAGGGAGAGAGAAACCCAATGCAAGAATGAGATCCCACGATGCAAGAATGAGATCACAAAGAACCAAGACTAGATTGAGAAGAAGGAAATATTGATAGCTGTCTAGACTGCCCATCTATAAAAGCCACTAAAATGTTACTAGAAACATAATCAAATAGATAATTGTGTGATAGCATGTGCCCATATTTATTTCAAGGATGTAACTGGAAATAAAACTCTGATAATTCTATTGGAGTGAGGAGGAAACCCCAAAGACACATTCTCAAATAACAACACATGGCCACTTGACTTCCTTTAAAAGGGCAGGGCTGGGTAAAAGCAGGTTTAGGTGAGAGCTGGATGGCTGAGGATGTTAAATAGTCAGGGGGCTACTCTTGCCACTGCCATTCTTCTTCTTTGATTCTCTGAGTCCCCCACTTCATGCAGCCATCAGCCACTCCCCTAAACAGACACTGAAAAAAAAAATTTGAAGAACATTAGTTTTAAAAGACATCAAATGATTAGCCTGCTTTGGCTGCCCACATGCTTCAATTAAGTCTTAAATCTAGAGATATGCAGTAAGGAGAGAAAAAATGAGAAAGATATTAGAGATGTCAGGGATGAGTTCACCCCATGATTGTTACTAAAGCTGTTTGAGGCTGTTTGCATTTCTGCCCGTTCCATAAGTGTATGATTGTTGCACACTTTGTGCGTGTGTGTGTTGTTTATGTGCGTGTGTGTGTGTGTGTAGAGAAACATCAGAAGAAAGGCCTAAGTTGTGTTCTCACTGTAAATCCAGTGATGTCCAGACAATCCTGGAAGCTTTTTAATGCCTTCTTGACTCCCAGTTTCCAAGACCAAGACTCTTAACCCTTCCCTAATGAAAGCCTCCCCTTTACTCACCGGAAAGGTAAATGGATAAAAAAGAAACTCATCAGGGTCAGGGACATGGTGAGGCTGACGATCACAGCACTATTTGGGGGAAATGGGCTGGAACCAGTGGGGCAAGGTCATTTTAAATACAGCAAGGCGTGCATTAGGAATATTCTCTCTGCCAGTCTCCAGTGACTGCTGCTGGGGGCCTAGGATTGCCAGGAGTCTCAGTGCTCATGGCGGGGCTCAAAGCTTCGCAGTCCTGTCACAAGGAAAGGTTGTGAAGGTAGAAGGCAGTTTCCACACTTTAGCATTTACTTGTTGGAGTACAGAATGGAGGTGTCAAAAGGCCACAGAAATACAGAGACTATTGGCAACTCCTCCTATAGGGCCCCAGCAACACTGCAGGGTTCTGGGGAGGGGATTACTGTAGAGACAGTGGAAGCTGCTTGATAAGATCGGACCACAGAGGAGGACAAGATGGGCAAATCCAGATGGCCATTCCTGAGCCCATAGGAGACCCCAGGAACTCTGAAGGACAAAAGGAAGGAGTGAGGAGTTGGAATACCCAAAGTTTTGAGAAGGAGATTAAGCCAAAGAAAGACTGGTTTGTTGCAAATATTCAGGCTGTTGTACATCCCAACACCAGATGGTTATTCCTGGGAAACATGGGCGTGTGTGCAGATGACTGTATTTATGGAGTTCACCAAGAGGACATAGCCGCATCTGGACAGCTGGAAATCCCACTCCTGACTACTTATATTGTGGGTGTTTTCCCAAGCAGTGGAGAGAGTAGCCAGCAGGCTCACCGGAGGAGCCCTCCTCTGCAACACTTGGAGAGGAATTTCATTGATTTTCCTTTCCTGGGGTTTCCAGTCTTGATGGCATGTGGAATAACCAGCCTGGTGCAAAAGTGAAAACAGAACCTTCAGGAAGGCTGACTAAATGGTTGTTGATGTAATCAGAGGTTCTGAGTGCTGAGGGAAAGTCCCAGGACTTAAAAAGAATCTCTTCCATGCGTGCTTTTGACAGATGCCTGAAGTTCTGCCATGACAGCCCCACTCTGTTTGCCTTCAGTGCTGTTCATGGCACTTTGGAGGATTTTGTTGGGGAAAGAGCTTGTTTTTAAATTTAAGTATTAAAATAGATTTTGCAGCCAGCTTTGGTAGCTTATGTCTATAATCCCAGTATTTTGGGAGGCTGAGGCAGAAGGATCACTTGAGCCAAAGGGTTCAAGGCCAGCCTGGGCAACATAGTGAGACCCTGTTTCTTTAAAAAAAAAAAAAAAAAAAAGATACTGCATACTGCATTCACATGACTCACAAGTCACAGACCTAACTTTAGAATTGACTCATATATATATATGCACGGTATCCCTTCCACACCTTACCTTCACCACCATTGCTGTCATAACCTCCCCTAGCCATTGTTGTGAGGGTTCTGTGTATCCTTTGAGGGTTTCTTTTTGCACGGATGAGCAATGTAAATATATATTCTCATCCCATCTTACCCAAAGATAGCATATTATAACACTCTTTTATTTTTTGTTTTTTATTTGTCTGAGTTTTTTAGTTTAAAAAAATTTAGTAATTCTTTTTACTGAAAAAACAGGTGTGTTTGACACCTCTCAGATGTTTCCTTGTGATTCATTAATTTATTTTCATTTCCATAGGTTACTGGGGAACAGGTGATGTTTGGTTACATGGGTAAGTTATTTAGCGGTGATTTGTGAGATTTTGGTGTGCCCATCACCTGAGCAGCATACACTGAACCCAATTTGTAGTCTTTTATCTCTCACCCTCTTCCTACCATTTCCCCGGGTCCCCAAAGTCCACTGTGTCATTCTTATGCCTTTGTATCCTCATAGTTTAGCTTCCACTTATGAGTGAGAACATACGATGTTTGGTTTTCCATTCCTGAGTTACTTCACTTAGAATAATAGTCTCCAGTCCAACCAGGCTGCTATGAATGCCATTAATTCATTCCTTTTTATGGCTGAGTTGTATTCCATTGTGTGTGCGTGTGTGTATGTGTGTGTGTATCACAGTTTCTTTATCCACTCATTGATTGATGGGCATTTGGGTTTGTTCCACATTTTTGCAATTGTGAATTGGGCTGCTATAAACATGGGTATGCAAGTATCTTTTTTGTATAATGACTTCTTTTTCTCTGGGTAGATACCCAGTAGTGGGATTGCTGGATCAAATGGTAGTTCTATCTTTAGTTCTTTAGATGTTTCTTTGTAATTTAAACAACTGGATGGTATTCCATTATATGAATATACCATAATATTTTATCAGTCCTTTGTAATCGTCATTTGGGTTTTATATAGTTTTTGCCATTTCAAATAATCTGGCAAGGGTGGAGCCTGGAGAAGTTACCAAAATGGCCATTTTGCACATGTGCAAGTATATCTGGAAGATAAACTCCAGAAGTGGAAAGGATAAATTTTGTAATATTTATAGATACTGTATATGTGAGTGTATGTGAAAGTGTGCTTATGATTTTTTGTTTTGGAGGAATTTTAGACTTACAGAAAAGTTGCCAACATAATCCAGAGTTCCTATATACACCTTATGATATTGCATTTTTTTGATATACAGACATTTGCCATTTTTATGTAGTCATTCTACTTATGTTTTGCTTTGTAGTTTCTACCTTTGCAGGAAAAAAATCCATTCTTTTTGTTTAGTTTGGTTTGGGTTTATCTTTTACGTTAATTATTTAATTCATCCTAATTGATTTCAGTATATGGTATAAGGTATGAGGTAGGAATGTAACTTAATTTTAAAAATTGTTGGCCAGGCATGGTGGCTTATACCTGTAATCTCAGAACTTTGGGAGGCTGAGGGGGGCAGATCACGAGGTGAAGAGATCGAGACCATCCTAGCCAACATGGTGAAACCCCACCTCTACTAAAAATACAAAAATTAGCTGGGCATGGTGGCGCATGCCTGTAGTCCCAGCTTCTCAGGAGGCTGAGG